GGATATTCAATCTCAAAAATAAGAAATACAAGCTAAGACCACACCGAGATAGCAGTGTAACCCATCAGTTTAACAAATATGAAGGCATCCAAAAATACCACCTGGTGGGAATTAAAGGGTGTGGACACAAGACCTTCTGGGGACAGTGTACGGTAGCACAGACCTGAAACCATGCGCACACGGTCCATTTGGGGATGCACATCGTGAGAAACTCCTGCACTCGACAGACCATGAGACGTACACACAGGTACACAGCAACATCGTGTGTAGCAGTGCGTCATTTACATAATTATATGTACATTATGTAATATACATGATGTTATGTATGATTACACTGCAGTAATAATGAATGAAACTACAGCTAAGCCAGTGACCTACACACCTTAGAAAAATAATGTAAAATGAGATATGCTAGTCCTAGAACACCACATGAAAGACACTGTTTTATAATTTAAAAATTAGCGGGGCACCTGGGTGGCTCAGTCGCTTAAGCATTCAACTTCGGCTCAGGTCATGATCTTATGGTTCATGAGTTCGAGCCCCGTGTCGGGCTCTGTGCTGACAGCTCAGAGCCTAGAGCTTGCTTCACATTCTGTGTCTCCCTCTCTCCACCCCCGGCTCCCCCTGCTGACCGCGCACACGCTCTCTCTCTCTCTCTCTCTCTCTCTCAAAAATAAACCAATTTGTTTATTTTTGAGAGAGAGAGACAGAGACAGAGCATGAACGGGGGGAGGGTCAGAGAGAGAGGGAGACACAGAATCTAAAGCAGGCTCCAGGCTCCAAGCTGTCAGCAAGGAGCCTGACACGAGGCTCCAACTCACAGACTGTGAGATCATGACCTGAGCTGAAGTCGGAAGCTCAACTGACTGAGCCACCCAGGCGCCCCTAAAAAATTTTTTTTTAATTATCTAAAGGAAGCAATATACTTGTAAGAACGTGTGTGTGTGTGTGTAAATGCATGCATGTAATACAAGTGTTTAAGAAGTACAAAGGTATTAAAGAAGTTTAAAACAAAAGTGAATGGTAGCTCCTTTAGCAGAAAGGGAGATGAACAGAAGAATCATGTAAGTTGATTTAAGCTATTGGTAATATCCTTGTTCTTGCTTGTTGGTTCATGAGTCTCATTACATCATCATACTTTTTAATATGAATTACATATATATATATACATATATATAAATGTTACATATGTAATCTTTTATATAGATCAAAGATAGTGTTTTGAAAAGATAGTAAAAATTTCAGAACTAAAGAAACACACACGGGTCCTGCAGAAACACGCATCTTAAGAGAAAAATGAAGCCCATTCAAAGGAGAAGTAATACCAAGGTTTGCGGGAAGTTGCTATTTAAAGTAAGTCTGAAAGGCCTTTGTGATGATGTCACCTAAAGGGAATAAAAGAGCAAGCCATGCAGATATCCAGGGATGAACGAATATGCGGATTTTGTGCGACTCAGAATAGCAACGTGAGAAATTCTCAGTTTCTCACAACTGTAGTACAGATGCTTTCAAAGTTGAGGGTGCCTACGAATTCATGCCAAAACAGATTCCAAAGCCCCACTCAACAGTCCAATTTTACACATCTTGGATGCTGCTTAGCAATCCACCTATTGAAGATAAACTTGCCAAATAATTCTCATGTAAGTGGCCAGCACCACCACCCTCAGACATTTTCCAGGCTTTAACTTAGAAAAACAATTATGTCAGTTTGAGGATTAATCTACATCCGCAATCGTGGGTGAACAGTTAAATATAAAAAGAGGGAAAGAAAAGAAAAAAGAAACGGTAAAGACATGGGTCTGTTGCTTTTACAGTGACAAGGAGACAAATCTGGGAAAAAGAAAGAGAAAACAACAGATTTGGATCTCTGAGATCTTACAGACCTATGGCCCGTTGTTGTGAAGGGAACAGTAATGTAAAGAGGTGGAGTCACAGACCGGGGCTGGCTGTTACTGGAGCAGACAAGTGCGCGTGGGTACGGAACACAGCTCCCACAAGAACCAAGGAGATACCCTTGTTACTTCTCCGAGTACTTCATTCTGGCTTTGAGGTTTCACCAATATGGTTAAAGCCTCATGTTCCTTATCGATTTTACATACCTTAATATCCAATTTCTGGTGGGAATTTATAATCCCCAAGCCTTAGAAATACTATGAGGTTCCTTCATCCATCACGTGGTCTTATTCACTTGTTTGCAGCTGTAATTTTTTATGCCGCTACTTTCTCAATTCTCCACCAGCCTCAGTGCCAGATGCTGTCCCACTGCACACACTACGTGGGCAGGAGTCACGATGGCCCCTCTTCTACACAGCCTCATCCTCTACGAGTTTAAGGTATCACCATGAGTTTAAGATACGCAGGTACCATGGTATTTAGATCAACAATGGACACAAATTCTACTTAGTCTTGTAATGAATATTCACTATAAAATCACGATGGCACTTTTGAATCACAATGAGGAAGTGGTACATCTTTCATGAAGCAGTGAATTAGAGAATTATTTCTGTAAAAACTGTTGCTTGCGCTAAAGACTCTTAAGTCTAGCTATAAAGCAATTTCTAAGCTCTGAAGGATTCCTGAGAATACAGATGCCGGATAATACTCCACAGGCAGTTGATTTAAACTGCATTACATTTTAATGTCAAGATACTTGAGATTTTCTTAACTTTTCAAATATTTCATTAATTTATTCACTTATCTTCCAGACTTCCCATTCATAAAGTTTATTAAAACAACATGTTTGTGATTAAGATATGACCTGAGTTCCTAGGTCAACAGGTGACAAAATGCAAAAAAGACTATTTTACCAAAGACGTTTACCTAGCAAAAGGGTTTTTCTCCCCCACGAAAAGGAGGCAGTGCGAAACAGGAAACCTCTATGGAGAGAAGTATGTACTCTCATGATGGAAGAGGGCTGGAACCGCCGTGGGGGCAGGCTGGGCCGTGTACACGTGAACTCATGCTCACTGACCCGGTTTGTTCACCTACTAAGAGTGTGATCTTGGGGCGCCTGGGTGGCGCAGTCGGTTAAGCGTCCGACTTCAGCCAGGTCACGATCTCGCGGTCCGTGAGTTCGAGCCCCGCGTCGGGCTCTGGGCTGATGGCTCGGAGCCTGGAGCCTGTTTCCGATTCTGTGTCTCCCTCTCTGCCCCTCCCCCGTTCATGCTCTGTTTCTCTCTGTCCCCAAAATAAATAAACGTTGAAAAACAAAAACAAAAACAAAAACAAAAAAAAAAAGAGTGTGATCTTGGGAAAAATAATCTCCTGTGGCCTCGATCTTCTCAACTGTAAAGTGAGTTCAATAATGACCCTCATATCACAGTAGTGTTTTCAGAGTTAAATGAGGTAATACACGTAAAGTGCTTAGCAAAGCCAAATTCGGAAGGCAGGTAAGTACGAAACTATCACCACCACTACCATCGTCATGATAAACGTGTATTAACAAGGACCTAAACGACACTACGTGGGAGAATACAAAAATCACGATTTAAAAAAGACCTAAGTAAAGCTATTGACTGACACTGCTTAGTAATATGATGTCAGGAGTGCACACAGTACAGGACATCATTTTAGGAAAACTAACTGTTCTGAGACAAAAGGGATTCTACAAACCAGTTTTCCAATCTATTTTTCTCCTTGCTCCTAATGTCTTAGGACCAGAACTAGCCTTCATTTCCTCAAAACATCCTAATTTTCTCCTTTATTCCTAGATCATGATTCTTATACAATGCCTACGTGATTCATGCTTCCACTATTAAATCTGGGAGGAGCCTCTGACTGAAACATCCCGTGTAAAGCACACTAGGCGATCCTGTGATGCACGGCCTCAAGCAATCACACCTGGCTGGCATTGAGAAGACCAGGAAAACATGTCATTAGCATCCTGTTAACTTGCAAGCTGCTTATTCATTCCATTTCCTCATTTTTTCTTTCTTAAAAAGGAAACGCCAACACTGACCTAAACAAAAAAATCGTAAAATGCCAAAAGATGGCTTAAAAATGCAATGTTGGATGTTAAATGAAAGGCATGCCAGGTAAAATAACAGACTCTGAAAAATACTCTTTAGTCATTTTCCAAAGAAATTATTTCAATCTTTTGAATTCTTGACACACACAGTAAGGATGGCCAATACATTTTCTAATAATTAAGGAAGTTTTGACTCTTCTGCAGTATCCTGTTCTGTTTAAAAAGGTTTATCTTACATAGAAAGGTGCAAAGATGTTTACAGCAGCACTATCGACAACAGCCAAAATACGGAGAGAGCCCAACTGTTCCTCGACTGATGAATGGATAAAGGAGATGTGGTGTGTACACACACACGTACACACACACACAGAGGAATATTACTCAGCCATCAAAAAGAATGAAATCTTGCCATTTGCAACGACGTGGATGGAACCAGAGTGTGTTACGCTAAGTGAAATAAGTCAGTCAGAGAAAGACAAATCTCAAAGGATCTCACTCATGTGTGGAATCTAATAAATAAAACAAGTGAACAAAAGGAAAAGAGAGAGGGCAACAAGAAACAGACTCCTCACTCTAGAGATCACACTGCTGGTCACCAGCGGGGAGGTGGGTGGGGGATGGGGGTGAAGGAGGGTACTTGTGGTGACGCACTCCAGGTGATGTGTGCAAGTGTTCAGTCACAACATTGTACATCTGAAACTAATACTACACTGTATGGTTAAAAATTCGGGAATTGACATTTAAAAACTTAAAAAAAAGTAGCCTGAAAATAATCACAAGAGGTAAAATACATGTATTTTGGATGAGGCAATAGTGTTCAGTGTGTTATTTTACGGATTTTAACAAATCTCTTAATATAGAGCCATTTGGCTCCTTTAAAATTTATTTAGGGTGGGACCGGAATGTACTGTGCTAAATAAAATACAAATTTTCAGTATGAGCTTGTGGGGTCTGTAGATTAAAGCAAGTCTCATGCTGTTGCTCTCAGGCTCCCGAGCGACATTTCCCTCCAGCACCCCTTGTCCTAGGTTACCTGAGAACTGATCATGCGCTGGGCCGAGCGAGCAATGTTGGCAGGAAGACCGAAGAAACTAGGCTTGTCGTCCTCCGGAAGCTTTTCGATGAGAGCACGGTAGTCCTAAGTGTGAACAAGTGGAAACCAGCTTTTCGGTAAGCACTTAACTTACAACCACTGAAATCAGATACTGGCAAGTACTGAAGTATCGGTTATTCACATGATTACGCTTTCCAGGTCAATCTCCCTTTCAGTCTGGGTAACACTCACTTAGTCATCTTCAGAAAATATGCTCATTACCACTTGTTCATCCCTAGCTTATGTGATACTGGATTTTTTACATTCAACTCCGCGCATTCAAAGGGACCCTGCATTTATTAAACCGAACTACCTGAGTGGCTGTGGCTACTGTGTCAGATGTCACATAACATGTTTCCAGGAAAGCCCCGTGATTACTTACCATGCATCCGACCCACGACCGATGTGCAGAGCGCAGCTCCGCTTACCCTAAGATAAATATTCCTGACACCCCAGAAACCTCCATACACTTACACTGGAAAGCAAAAAGCTCTCTGTAAACACTTTCCATAAAGCCATTACCCAGTGAGTCCTCAGTCCGCTGGTGAAGTGTAATGAAATGCACTGATAATCCTCTCATTTCACCCCAAATTACTGTCAGCATTGCAAAGGCTCAATTTACCAAGCACAGTTAGAGTCAAAACTCTAGATGAGAAACCTAAGTGTGGACCAAGAGGGAGAATTTATTCGGTTTGGCTCAAGGGTAAGACCTGTTTTGTTTGCTTGCTGTCAGGAAGAACGAATTATTTTCAAGGGGACACTGCGTGTGCGTCTACACCATTCTTGCTGAACTAGGAGGAACAGCTGTTAAAGAGACTCCAGCATTCTTTCCCATCCTTGGGGGCTGTCTGACAACTATTTCCAGGGCAACAGTTGAACTCCAGGAAGCCCAGGGCCTGCAAACCTGTCAAATTTTGGAAAGGCATGCTTTTTTTTTTTTTTTTTGGAAATCTTTCCCATCCTATCTGTAAGTGAACACTGGTTAACTTCGTCAAACCGTTGAATCCCAATACATAGAGGGGTGTAAGCACGTGCGTACAGGAGCACCCAGGGCAGGCTTGTATATGCGTGTGCAGTGTAGGGCACACGCAGGTGTCGTCACCCGCCCGGGAAGCTCTGGCTTCCTCCTTCTGTAGGACTCTACTAGACAGAAAGCCAAACACTGATTCTCACAAATCATCCTATAAATACAGAGCAACTTTTGTCTATCACTTCCCTTTGTTCATTTCAACATGGCTGTCAACCTCTTTCATCTCTACTGGCTACGTCTGCTCTCCCCGACAACTGTACACCGACACGTTTCTTCCCTAACACACAGCTGCACGTCCACACGGATTTCTCCACACTTCGAGGCAAAAGGATATACACCCCATGAGAACATTTACGCAAAGCTCAAAAACAGGTGAAACTAACGTCGGTATTAGAAGGGCCTCATCTGTGAGGGGGACGCGGCAATGACAGGGGGCAGGAGGAGGACATGTGGGGAGCTGGTCACGTTCTGTTTCCGGATCCCAGTACTGGTTACACTCACATGCTCAGCGTATAAAATTCACTGCCGAGGACATTAATGATGTGCACTTTCTGTGGGGCTTTTACTTTTCAGTTTAAACCTCAAATAGAGAGGGGAGACCAGTCAGTGCACTGTGTGAAATGAGCGCGCCATGAATAGCCACGTGACGCCTCTATTTGCTGGGTGAGGCCCTCTCGCTAGGAGGTCAGCCCCACAGATGCCCGCGGTGCCCACACAGTCTGGAACAGGGCCACCGGCAGGTGCACGGATATTTGGGGGCGCTTAGTCATGTACTGAATACATGACTAAATGAGTGAAAGATACTGAAAAACAAAACAGACGGGATACTTAACAGGTAAGACATTTGGTAATATATTCAATATTGATTTCGAAACTTTTACTTTTGACAATTATGCCACTGAAACAAAAGAATCTTCTTGAAAAATACTTAGATGACAAAAAAAAATGCATAATTCCGAGAGAAGTATACAACTGAATATGTATCCCTGTAATTCATGAAGAGATAAATGATTTTCATGTTCTAGGACATTATTTGGACTTTAAGCCAAGATAAGTTTGAGGCCACATAAATGAGACTTGACATCTTCGGGCCACATTTTGCGCTACTTTGTGGAAAAAAGGACTTCATCCTACCGGCTTTTGTGGGATGACTCAAGGTGGAAAGCTCCAGCTGGCTAAAGTAAATACCCCTCAACGACAACGTTACTACCAGAGCCACCAAGAGTGTAACCCTCATATGGTTAGAGCTGATTTAAACTTATAAGCCAGCAAATGAAGACAGATTTGTTAAAGAGTGTTGGACTTCTTTCAGTTTCCCTGTGCCCACTGGAAACTCGTGGACCCTCTCCTTGTGGATCTTCACAGTGCTCTTACATTTGTAACATTTCCCTTGGCCACTCCCTCCAAGATTTCCCTACACACTGCATCCGGTTATCATCAATCTCCTGTAAGTATTCACAAGTGTGTAAGACACCAGAAATAGGCCGCACAGTGCATAACAATAATCCATACTTGTGAAAGGGAATTACTTGTGCATTTGAAAATAAACATGTATGTATTCAACAATTTAAGAAAAGGATTCAGGTATTTGGGAATAGATTACACACGATGAATTTTACCTACCAGAATGCTGCAGGATTTGGGGAGAGATATGGAATATGGAAAAATACTTTTCTTGTTCCTTTGGTTTGAAACATCAATTATTGAAGAATTAAAAAACTGTTTCAGGTATGACTGAAGAACTCTAAGGTCAAAATAGTTATCTATGCGTCCGCCATAAATAGCATTTTCAAGTAAACCGTGTAAAAATTCCCACTGAACATCTTTGGTACCTAGAATTTTAAAGCAAACTTTTATTAGCTTTATTTCTAACATATTAGAAATATTCTAAAAATATTCTAAATTATTCTGAGATATTAACTAAATTCTTGGCTCCAGTTATATTTATAGGATATGACAATATACATTTAACCAAGTTAAATCATTCCTTACAATCTCACTAATATGAATGTACAGCTCATTAATAAATTCTTAATAATAATTAATATTAATATAATCATAGAACGGCTAGTATGTATTGAGATTATTTAATCAAGTAAAATTCCCCAAAGTCACTTAAGCCTCATAACATAGAAATATTAAAAAGATCTAATTACACTGATGAATAAATTGAGGAACAGAGGCTGAGTGACCAAAATCAGAAAGTCACACAGTCCCAAAGATCTGGACCCAAAGCTGTACTCTTATCGACCACACAGCACTGCCTCCTCAGATGGGAAAGTCCTATTTAGAATATATCCAAAGCCTATTTTTATATAACGATGAAAATCTCAGTTCATAAAAAAAAAATCTGAATAAGGAAACTTGAAAAAAATCACTTCACATATTGTAATCTTCTAAATGTCCTGATTTTAACAGTCAACTGTCCATTTCCTATTCTAGTAAAGAAATGTAGTATAAAACAACACGAGACTCTCAAGTCATTATTTCATTTTGCGACAAAGCATTCTCTTAACCACAGTTCAGTGGTAATTTTAAAATGTAAGAATTAAACCTCACGTCCGCAGTAACTATAGGAAACCATTACATTTATAGTAGCTGGTTCCCCTCACTACTAGCAGGGCTGGTCTAGTTGCATTTGATTACTATAAAGTCCGAGATCGCACAAAGATCTCTGTGCTACTTCAGGCCACAGCGCACAGGTGATCAAGGTGGCCTCCTGCCGGACAGGGCGTCTGCAGCATGGAAGACTGATTAAAGTTGCTTCCTGCCTACGTCTTATGATCAACAGTGGCCAAACAGCTATAACAAGGGACTTCACCAGGACTCCATTTTCTAGCGCTACCTTGCTGTTTACTAAGTAATAGATTAGTAATGGAAAAGCCATTCATGCATAGGTAGGCCACCAGGGCACAGAGAAACATTAATGGACCTTCAATCTATAAAATACAACTAGCTATTATGTAAAATATATTTTATATAACTTTTAAGACCTTATGTGTCTTACACCCACTGTTCTCAAGGTGAGTTTTGTTTAAGATTAAAAAACCAGAACTGAAATCATAGCAATAGCAAAAACAGTCAATTACTGCTAACTTACTCAATATAGTCAATGTACTAAATATCAAATGCTTCATGGGGCTTTTCTCATTCAACCTTCTCAAAAATTGAATCAATGGACATGCGTCTGCTATCACCCTATTTTACAGATCAGGAAACTCAGGCATCAAGATTATACATGTGGCCCGGGTCTTATGAGCTACATAATTTCTCACCCATATAATTAGAGCTTTTTCTCTTTTTTGTACTTAATTGTGTACATGCGAAGAAATTCTAGAATCCTAAGATTATACAGTTAGATTTTTACCATGAGATGCACTATCACTTTAAAGCACGGGCCTCTTATTCACAACAACTCAATGGTGTGATATGTGTAAAAAATAATGTGAGGCTATTAATTAATTCCATCACAAGTGTCAAACATAATGACAAATCATTCAAACTCCTTGCTTTGGTATCCTCATCCTCAAAGGGCACTAATAATGATGATCTCATAGTGATACTATAAAAATGAAGTTTAAAGCATTTTGAAAAATTATGGAAATAGCCCAAGTGTCCACTGACTAATGAATGGATAGAGAAGATGTGGTGTATGTATACAATGGAATATTCCTCAGCCATCAAAAAGAATGAAATTTTGCCATTTGCAAGGACATGGATGGAACTAGAATGTATTATGCTAAGCACAATTAGAGAAAGACAAATATCATATGATTTCATTCATATGTGGAATTTAAGAAACAAAACAGATGAATTTACGGGAAGTGTGGGAATAAAAAAAGGAGGGGAAAAAACCACAAGAGACTCTTAACGACAGAGAACAAACTGAGGGTCGATGGAGGAAAGAGGGTGGGGGATGGGCTAGATTAGTGATGGGGACTAAGGACAGCACCTGTGATGAGCACTGGGCATTGTGTGTAAGTGATGAATCACTAAATTAAGTTCCTGAAACCAATACTACAGTGCATATTAACTGGAATTTATTTATTTTTAAAGTTTATTTATTTGAGAGAGAGAGAGACAGAGTGCGAGCGAGCAAGCGAAGGAGTGAGAATGAGTAAACACAAGCCAGGGGGGAGCAGAGAGAAAGGGAGAATCCCAAGAAGGCTCCATGCTGTCACCACAGAGCCTGGCGTAGGACTTTATCTCATGAATCATGAGATCATAACCTGAGCTGAAACCAAGTCAGAGGCTTAACCGACTGAGCCACCCAGGTGCCCCTAACTAAAAGGAATTTAGAGAAACATTTGAGGGGCACCTGGGTGGCTCAGTCAGTTAAACGTCCGACTTCAGCTCAGGTCATGATCTCACAGTTTGTGGGTTCAAACCCCATGTCGGGTTTTATGCTGACAGCTGGGAGCCTGGAGCCTGGTTCAGATTTTGTGTCTCCCTCTCTCTGTCCCTACTCCGTTCACACTCTGTCTCTTTCACTCTCAAAAATAAATAAACATTAACAATTTTAAAGAAAAACTTGAAAATACAAAGAAAAAGAAAAATGACCAAGTTTCAATGCAAGCTAAAGCCTTAGTACATACTGTATTAATACTGAAAACAATCACTCGAAGAGTCAGAAAAGTGGCTACCCTTGGCATGCACTAGGGCACTGTGGGGTCATGTGTATCAAGGAGCAGGGGAGGTGCTTCTGGAAGGTTGGTAACACTCTGTTGAACTGGGGTTAATTACAAAGATTCAATATATGCCCATTTACTAAATTTTAAGTTCATATACACTTTTACCACGTGTAATTGAGAAATCTGTACCATGCAGAAAAACTCACTTAGAATATTATTTGGCATTCACTAATGGTGAACAAACGAACGTCCCACCTACCCCTACATACAGACTCAACACAAACATATCCAAATTGTTACTGAAGGTAGCAGCGAGATCACCACCACCCCACAGGACCCACATGTCCACCGACAGAAGTCACATGATCAAAGAATGACACACTATATTGCACTGATAATAAATGACTTGTACCTGCATGTAACCATACAGACGAATCTCTCAAGACAACGTGAACTGAAAGAACCTAAGGACTAAGCAGTACGTGACGTACGATCCCAGCTGTACGAACACAGGCAAAATTGCTGTATATAGTTAGGAGATGCCTGGTGTTTACCACAGGAGCGGAGGGACAGGGCAGTGGGGGTGGCGGTGGGGGTTGGGGATGGTCATGACCGTAAGGCAGCATGAGATAGAGTGGAATCAGAATTACTGGTGATGTTATTTCTTTTTTTTTTTTTTAATTTTTTTTTTCAACGTTTATTTATTTTTGGGACAGAGAGAGACAGAGCATGAACGGGCGAGGGGCAGAGAGAGAGGGAGACACAGAATCGGAAACAGGCTCCAGGCTCTGAGCCATCAGCCCAGAGCCCGACGCAGGGCTCGAACTCACGGAACGCGAGATCGTGACCTGGCTGAAGTCGGACGCTCAACCGACTGCGCCACCCAGGCGCCCCTGATGTTATTTCTTGATTAAGGTGCTGGCTACATGAGTCTGCTCATTTTCTGGAAATTTCACTGAGATATGATCTTATAAGTACTTTTTGTACATATATCATTTAAAACTTTAATGTCATAAACATATAAATTAAACTGGGACTTGGCTACATACTAGATGTCCATCCCTATCATTCTGCCAAAGATACGCTACAGAATAATTTCTGGTGTCTGATATTAATTCAACTAACAATAACGGAGTGTCTACCCTGGGTCCTGCTACAGGCATTAAGGACATACAGCCAAAAACTTTGCTTTAAGGTAGATGGTGCTCTAGTGGGGACAGATGAACAAGGTCGCACTGACACGCTCCAACAACACAACAGAACAAGTGGGTAGAGAAGAGCTTTTACAATGACTTAGACTTGGTGGTAACGCAAAGCTTTTCTGAAGAAGAGCCCCGACGTGGAGATGTGAACGAAGGGATCACATAGAGGTCTGGGACAGAGGCACTTCAGAAGAGCACCCACCGAGAACTTCAGGGAGAACAGGCCTGGCCTGTCAGAGGAAAAGAAAGGACTAAGGTGGCTGCAGGTTTTAAACAGGGACGACGTACCTCATTTTACTTTTCTCAACGCTTGGTTTACGCGTGGCGAATGTTTCAGAGAGTGCTGATCACAAAGAAGCCTGCGTAAGCAGCTCTTCTCGGACCAGCAAGCACTGAGGAGGCTGAGTCAATGAGCAGAATCGGGATCCGGTTTGGACATGGAAGGGACAGAAATTGCCCAGACACTGGACATTTAAGGATGAGAAAAAGAACCCAGGTGGTTCACAGGTTCTGACCCTGGACAAATACACGACTGGTGGTGGTGTTTACTGAAACGGGGGATTCAGGGAAGGGCTTGGTGGGGCTGCAGGGGCATTTTTAAGTTTGAGATCCCTATGAATATATTCTCTCCTCCAATCCATCCCTGCTCTAAACCCTCGCATCCCCTGCCGTGCCCCTGCACCCCTGCACAATACACATCAGAGGGCAGAGGGCAGGATGGCCTCAACCGATCACATCACATGGTCTTGTCTATTACAGTCTATTATTTGCACCTTGATCCTTAACTCCTACTTAACCATAAGTTTAGATTCTACAGATGTGTAGTATTGACGTTAGTCTAGCATAGTCCCCGATTTCACAGTTCCAGAGAGCTGAACAATTCTTCCTAAGCCTGAAACCTAGGAAGGCCACAAAGTGAAGACAACGTCTCTCCAGGTTTTGGCTTCCTGAGAGCTACAGAAAGATCAGAAAACTATGGCATGTAAAACTAATGACCATCACAGATAGAGAACTAGCCACTAACATAAGTACAGCAGCCAGGACATAAAACACAAAATGAAAAGCAAAAACAAGTTTCATGATGGAAGTCAATTTTGAAAAAAACACACTGCTAGTAAGACCTCAAAAAAATTTTCCCATTAATATCAGAGAGGACAGTTATCACTAGAACTTACCATCAAAGAGCCTGTCAATAATGCTGTATCCAGCCCGAAGATCTGATAAAGAAAACTCATAAAACTTGGTCCAACCCTATCAAAACAAATTTACAAATATTAAAGACCTACAAACAGTGTTCAAAGATACACATGTAGGCATCATCGACTTTATAATCTTAAGAATGTTCAAAACATGCTAATGAAATAAAAGGAAAACTCCCAAAACTTTTTAATAAAAACAATAACTCTAAAGTAACAGTAATTTTTTAAAAGAAATTTACTGACATCACAGCATGCCAAGGACTTTTAATACTAGAATAGTTTTTATCATTTAAGTATTGTGGCAATTCAGTCACAGAGGGAACAAATTGGTATAGTAAATTTTGGAGTCTAAGTACAGTGTATTCAGTGAGATATTTTCTATAATTTTATCTTTCAGACTTGTGGGTTTTGTCAATAAACATGAGAAAAGAAATGTTACAAAAATTTTTTAAAGGCCCAAAAATAAAGCATTATTTCCTGTACATTTCACCCATGAAGCATTCATGTTGGAACTAAATTATAAACTTGCAGCTAAAAGCTACAATGCTTATATAAAAAGAACATTCATAGAGCTCTAGGTTTTATAAAAATATGAAAAAAGTAAAAAAAATTCTGATGGTACTTCCAATCACTCTAATTTAGTTTAATGTAATGCATTGAAACTAAAATCTATTTAGACTTTAATAGTATTTAGGAATATCAAAACAAATTTCATCCATTAATCATTCAAAACAATATGTACAAAATGCATGTTATATGTAAAGCACTGGGAATGAAAGAATGAACCGAAACATAATCTCTGCCCTCAGGTGGCTGTCAGTAAAATGTGGGCAAGGGGGAAAAGTAGGTGGGCACAATCCACCACTCAAACACACCTCCAACTACAGGCTACAACTACAACGTGCTTGATGCAAAGAGTCGTACATGGTCTGCACAAGAAAGAGGTCTGAGCTCATCCAGGAGTTAAGGCACCGCCGCCCTGGTGGGGAGCGGGGAGTAGAACACACAGGAAGGAGTAAGTACATGGACACTTAGGACAATAAAGTTAGAGAATTTGTGTAAAATGAGAGAGGAGAAGCTAGTGGAAGCTACTGAGGGCCTGCTGCACACCAGGCACTGTCTGGTCGGTGAGAATCTACCACTGAAGCAAAGAGAAAAAACCCATGCTCTGGAGAAGTCTGTGCTCTAAGGCTCACACCCAGAACACAGGGGTTTTCAGTCATTTCTGAAACAAACTGGCACATATAAAGAGTTGGACACAAAAACCTAGGGCTTAGAGAACGGGTCTGAGCTAGATACATAAATTTGGGGGTCACTAGCATTTGGATACTTTTTTAAAATTATAGATATTGTAAACACACACACACACACACACACACACACACACACACACACGAGATTTAAACCTCACTCGCTAAGATTCAGTACAGGTAAGAATCAGAGATCTGTAAGGGTTACATGCCTGTCAACAATAACAAACTTCAGTGACAATATATTTTCTTTCAACTTTTTATTTAAATTCTAATTAGTTAACATACAGTGCAATATTGGCTTCAGAAGAATTCAGTGATTCAGCACTTACACACAACACCAAGTGCTCCTCCCAAGTGTCCTCCTTAATGCCCATCACTCATCCAGTCCATTGCCCACCTCCCTCCCTCCATCAATGCTCAGCTTGTTCTCTGTCGTTAAGAGTCTCTTTTGAAAATAAGAGTCTCTTTTGAAAATTAAAAAAAGAATCTCTTCTGGTTTGTTGCCTTTCCTTTTCCCCCTCATATATGTTCATCTGATTTGTTTCTTAAATTCCACATGAGTGAAATTATATGGTATTTGTCTTTCTCTGATTGACTTACTTCATTTAGCAACATACACTCTAGCTCCATCCATGTCATTGCAGATGACAAGATTTCGTTCATTTTGATGGCTGAATAATACTCCATTGTATACATATGCCACATCTTCTTTATCCATTCATCAGTTGGTACACACTTAGACTCATTCTATAATTTGGCTATTAATGATAGTGCTGCTATAAACATTGGTATGCATCTATCCCTTGGAATTAGTGTATCTGTATCCTTTGTGTAAATACCTATAAATACCTAGGAGTGCAACTGTTGGATTCTAGGATGGTTCTATTTTTAACTTTTTGAGGAACCTCCATACTGTTCAGAGTGGCTGCACCAGTTTGCACTCCTACCAACAGTGCATCCTTGCCAACACCTGTTGTTTCTTGTGTTGTTAATTTTAGCCAACCTGACAGGTGTGAGGTGGTATCTCATCATGGTTCTGATTTATACTTTCCTGATGATGAGTGATGTTGAGCATCTTTTCATGTGTCTGTTAGCCATCTGGATGTCTTCTTTGGAAAACTGTCTATTCATGTATTCTGCCCATTTCTTAACTGGGTTATTTGGTTTTTTTTGTATTTTGTATGTTGAGTTTGCTAAGTTCTTTATAGCTTTTGGATAACTATCATAGATGTCATTTGGAAATATCTTCTCCAATTCTGTAGGTTGCCTTTTAGTTTTGTTGATTGTTTCCTTTCCTGTGCAGAAGCTTTTTATTCTGATGAAGTATCAGTATGTTTCCCTTGTCTCCAACAACATTTCTAGTAAGAAGCTGCTCTGACCAAGGTCAAGAGGTGGCTTCCTGTGTTCTTCTCGAAGATTTTGATGGTTTCCTGTCTCACATTTAGGTCTTTCATCCATTTTGAATTTATTCTTTGTACGTGGTAGAAGGAAGTGGTCCAGTTTTCCCAACATCACTTCTTGAAAAGACTGTCTTTCCTCCAGTGGCTATTCTTTTCTGCTTCATCAAAAATCAGTTGACCATATAATTGTGGGTCCATTCTGGGTTTTCTATTCTGTTCCATCAATCTATGTGTCTGTTTTCATGCCAGTACCATACGGTCTGACTACAGCTTTATAATATACTTTGAAACCCAGAATTGTGATGCCTCTAGTTCTGTTTTTCTTTTTCAGGACTGCTTTGGCTATTTGGGGTCTTTTGTGTTCCATACAAATTTTAGGTTTGTCCTAGCTCTGTGAACAATGCTGGTGGCATTTTGACAGGGAATGCATTAAATGTGTGAATTGTTTTAAGTAGTATAGACATTTTAACAATGTTTGTTCTTCCAATCCATGAGCATAAAATGTTTTTCCATTTCTTTGTGTCCTCTTCAATTTCTTTCATAAGCCTTCTATATTTTTCAGAGTACAGATCTTTACCTTTTTGTTTAGCTTTATTTCTAGGTACCTAACTGCAGTTGCAAATGGAATGGATTCCTTCATTTCTTTTTGTTGCTTTGTTATTGGCGTATAGAATTGCAACAGATTTCTGTAGGTTGATTTTATATCCTGCAACTTTGCTGAATTCATGTACTAGTCCTAGTAATTTTTTGGTGGAATCTTTCAGGTTTTCCACATAGAGTATCATGCCATTGGTAAATAGTGGAAATCTGACTTCTTCCTTTCTGACTTGGCTATCTTTTATTTCTTTTTGCTGTCTGATTGCTAAGTCTGAGACTTCCAGTGCTGTGTTAAATAGTAATCGTGAGAGGGGACATCCTTGTCTTGTTCCTGACCATAGGGGAAAGGCTCTCAGTTTTTCCCCACTGAGGATGGTATTAACTGTGGGTCTTTCGTATATGGTTAGGTCCCATCTATCCCTACTTTGTTGAGGGTTTTGTTTTTTTATCAAGAATGGATGCTGTAATTTGTCAAATGTTTTTCTGCATCTATTGACAGGAACATATGGTTTGCACACTTTCTTTTATTAATGTGGTGTATCATATTCATCTATTTGTGAATACTGAACTAGCCCTGCAGCCCAGGGATAAATCCCACTTGATCATGGTAAATAATTCTTTTAATGTACTGTTGAATTTGATTTGCTAGTATTTTGTTGGGAATTTCTGCATCCATGTTAATCAGGGATATTGGCCTATAACTCTTTTTTAGTGGGGTTTTTGTCTGTTTTTGGAATCAAGGTAATGCTGGCCTCACAGAATGAGTTTGGAAGTTTCCATCTCATTTCTATTTTTTTTTTTTTTTTAAGTTTGAGAGGAATAGTTATGAATTCTTCTTTAAATGTCTGGTAGAATTCCCTTGGGAAGCCATCTTGCTGCCCTACACTCCTGTTTGTTGGAAGATTTTTGATTACTGTTTCAATTTCTTTGCTGGTTATGGGTCTGTTCAAATTTTCTATTTCTTCCTGTTTTGGTACTTTCAATGTTTCTAGAAATTTATCCATTTTTTCCAGATTCTCCAGTTTGTTGGCATATTTTTCATAATATTCTCTTATAACTGTTTATATTTCTTTGGTGTTAGTTGTGATCTCTCCCCTTTCATTCATGATTTTATTTATTTAGGTCCTTTCTCTTCTCTTTTCATTAAGTCTGGCTAGGAGTTTATCAATTTTATTAATTCTTTTGAAGAACCACCTCTTAGTTTCATTGATTTGTTCTACTGGGTTTTTTGTTCCTGTATCATTTATTTCTGCTCTAGTCTTTATTATTTCTCTTCTTCTGCTGGCTTTAGACTTCAACTGCTGCTCCTTTTCTAATCCCTTTAAGTGTTAGAGTTAGGTATAAGACCTGTATTGCAATATTATTTCTCTCTTAGGAATGCCTCTGCTGCATCCTAAAGGTTTTGAATGGTCATCTTTTCATTTTCATTTGCTTCTATGTATTTTTTTTTTTATTTCTTCTTTAATTTCCTGGTTAACCCATTCATTCTTTAGTGGAATGTCCTTTAACCTCTATGTATTTAAAGGCTTTCCAAACTTTTTCTTGGGGTTGATTTCAAGTTTCATAGCGTTGTGATCTGAAAATATGCATGGTATGATCTCAACCTTTTGTACCTGTTGAGGGCTGATTTGTGACCACGTATGTGACCTATTCTGGCAAATGTACCAGGAATACTTAAGAAGAATGTGTATTCTGTTTTAGTGTGAAATGTTCTGAATATATCTTTTAAGTCCATCTGGTCCAGCGTGTCCTTCAAAGCCAGTTTCCTTGTTGATTTTCTGCTTAGATGATCTGTCCTTTGA